TATTGGAATTTTTGAAAGGATAAAGATATTACGTAAATAACGGTAAAATTTAGGAGTTTTTTTTTTTTTTTTTGAAATTTAGCCAGAAATCTTTTGGGTTTCGGCAACTAAATTTTGTGTGGTGTTTGTAAAATAGTTTGAGCACTTGTAGATGTAGAAAAAAATATCTATCATTATATAATTCCACGATTCACAAAAAGAAAGGTGTTATTTTAAAAAATTAAATTCTAATAAAAAAATTAAAATGCGATACTTTGATTCTATATGTATAAGAAAGGCTGTGATTTCTGCTAATAAAATTATTGGTTGTGGGATTGTCTGGAGAAAGATAAGAGTACAACGACAATATTAAAAAATAGAATAATGGGATAATTTAAAAACTGAGTATCTTAAAATACAATAATTGAAGAACTTTGATAATAAAATTATAAGTTCATTCTGAAGTTGATGTTTTTATTTTATTTTTTTAAAATTAAATAATTTGATCTCATTTTTTTAATGTTGAAAAAGAAAACATGTTTCATTTGGACATTTCAAACGAGTGGGGCTGCTGCCGAGTCAAAACGAGTTTCAGATTTTCCGAGTAAAAAGAATTAGACCGTAGGAAGCCGGACAGAAAGGGCGGTGTCTATATTTTGCTCTAGCTCTCTCATAAGTCTCCCTGCCCTTTTCCAAAATGACCACTCTGTCCCTCTTGCGTTTTTCTCAAGCATAAATTGTTGTTTTATTATTTTTAAATTTCTGTTATTATTTTTTATTTTTGATTTAACTCCACCCATCAAGAAGTTTCCCTTTCGTATGTGCGAATGAGTAGGTTTTTCCATGTTTAAGAGGTGGGTTTTAGATGTCTATATTTAGGTTGTCCCTTTAAGGTAGCAAACTCATAATTTGAGATTACTGAACTTCTATATTATAGGCTAATTTTTCAATATTAGACTACAATTTCAACTCATGAGTCGATCATTTTGAACCCATGTTAAATATAATATGTAATTTAGGACAAGAACTACTAGATATATCATGTTTAATACATGAAATTTAAATATAGAAACTTTTGAATCATTAAATATAATTATTAAAATACGAAAAAAATCCCAATAAATTAAATAGTATTAAATTCTAATCGGGGAAAGTTTTAAGATTCTTTTGGTTTGGGCCACAAGGGAGAGGGTTTTTTACAATTTTGAATATATTATATTAAATACATGGAATCAAAATATGGAAAATAAATTGATTAAATGTTTAAAATTTCAAATTTTGGAATCTAAATATGTTAAATTTGAAAATATAGGCCATTTATTAAAATATAGTTTCGAATAGGACTCATATAACAAACAATTCCTATGTTTTATATCTCATTTTAATTTGATTTGGATTTCATTATGTTAATTTGTCCATAACTTAATGTTTGAAAATATAATATTTCTATTATATTATACCATTTAAATGCCTCTAATGTGTTATCCTAAAAGTTAAGAGATAAAATTGCTATATATAAAAGAAAAAAAAAGTTGCTCAATTTTGAAATTACATTGTTTAATTTTTAATATTTTTCCAAGATGCCGCCGGTTTGGCAGCCTAATTCCATGTCCAACGTGGAGGAAAAACGGCCACCCTCAGTTCGGACGGATTGGTATTTTCTCCAAACCCCAAATTGTATATTGTGAAATGAAATCCATTCTCTCCTTTTTATAAATTATCCTTTTGTACATTTATTTTCCAGTCAAAAGTGTTTGATCGAGTTTGTTAAGCTTTTACTTTTTCAAAACCATGCAATTGAATTGACTAAAGCAAAATTGTTAACGTAATATAAATGTCTTTTATTACCTAAAATTCCTTTTTTTTTTCTATTTTAAATCATATAAAATCTACCTTTGAAACTTCAAGTGTTAGATGAATACTTCAAATAAAATCATTTGAAATTTGTCAGTTGAATCACTATGAAATGTCAACTACTTGATATTGTATGAAAATTTTCATCTTCGTTACAATTTCGGCAACAAGATTTTGCTCTCTTTTAATATTTGAGCCAAAAAGGAAGATTTGCAGCCATGATATTCTTGAGTTTGAATGCAATTAGGAATTCAAGGTTTCTAAATGACCATTGAATATTGACCATCCAACTATCCAATGTGTACACATTGGGTGTCAATCTTAACATTGACCACTCCCCCATTGAATTTTAACCAAAAGAAGTACAAGTGGTTTTTGGTTCCATTCAAAACACAACATTATATACTCAACAACCCAAACCCTTCTAGCATTATGGTCAAGGTTAATTTTTTTCCCAACTTAGTCAATAAAGGCAATTCAATCTTTGAAATTTTTACTTTCACGAATTCTTCATTTTTTACGCATTAAAATTTATTGTGAAAATCATTTATCAACTCTTCCAATAGTTTTACTTTTAAAATTTCAATTAGACTAAAAGCTATTGTTAATGATGTTGACAATCCTATGGAAGTATACACTAATCGTGTAGTAAGTGATAAAAAAGATAGAATTCATAGGGATTAAATAATTAAAATGTTCCAATTTTTACTCAAGAAATAATCGAGATATTTCAAATTACCACTACTTTGTAATTAAAAAAAAATAGTGCATTTAAATGAGATTAAAACAAAATTAAAAACACCTAATCCTTCAGCACAAGAAGAGAGAAGAGAGAAGAGAAAACTAAAACTCAAGTATAAAAATGGGGGTTGTGTGCCTGTTACTATGGTGTTACTAACTATGCTCCATTTTTCTAGATTGCCTAGATTTTCATGTTACTTCAAACACTATATGAACCAACGATTTATCAGCATAGTTTTTAGCCATATTAGGTGAGTGTTATCCCTAAGTACCCACACTCGATGCTCAAAGATAGATCTAATACAAGTTAAAAACTCTCTTTCCCTATTACAATCTGCTGGAAGCTAATAAAGAGCTCATTCAACATGGTGATAAGGCATATTGAACTTAAACAAATGCAAACAAGCTTTAATTAAGTAGAAGCAACTTCATAAATAAAAAAGTTAGTGTTCATAGTAATGGGTGACAACCCTCTCAAGGTGTTTAGCTACTTAACGTCGTAACAAGAAAATGAGAGAAAGAAAATACAAACTTCATGGAGTAAAAAATACAAAAGAAGAAGAATGGGAAGAAAATCAGTAGCTTCTTCTCAGCAACCAACTCCTTCTTTGTTGGGTTATTCTCCAAGCGAGACTCTTTCCCCTTCTGTGTCTTTTCTCTCTTTGGGATAGACGAAGAATGAACATGGAGACACCCTTGAATGCAAGCTTTTATACCTCTCTTCAATTTTATGGCAGCAAATTAGATAAAGTGGGGTCCAAAGTAAGTTTTAGGAGTTTTTGGTTTTATAGCAGTAAATTCTCGGGTAAAAGTTGTAATTGTTAGTTCACTTTTTCCAGAAGTAGCTCCAATGCTCTAGCATCAATGTTCCTGCCACAAAACATTCAAACTTAGAAGTTTTTCTTAATATTCAACAATGAACACTCATTTGCAACTTTCATTTGGATATTGGAGCTAAATTGTTTATTTTCTTCATTGCCTGAGACAACTTTATCTTAAAATAACTGTTTTATGAGAGTAGAGTTATCAATTATGTTGAGAATGTATGTTAATTAGAGGGAAGACCTTAATATATAAATAAAAATAACATCAATATCATTATTAGATCTTTTGGATAGATTTCAAAAGTCAAATTGTTATGGAGATATAGAACTATCCATTGTCATAACATGTTAAAACAAAAGTATTCAACATATTCTCTTTGATTTGACTTAAACATTCCAAAATAAGATAAATGTGAGATAAAGATAACTGCTTAGTTTTTATACTACTGAATCAGTGGGTCAAAATCCAAAATTCTTGTCACAGTGCCAACACTCGAAGGTATGTCAAGATTTCGAATTACAATCATAACGAACAAATAAAAGTATATAGATGATAGATCGAAACTAATATTTTAAATTAAAAGTTAAAATTCTGACATTAAAAATTGACCAAGTATTATGAAAATAAAATAGAAAACCTATAAATAAATTAAAAATTGAAGAATCCGTTGGAATGAGAGAATCCGTGGGGTTGTTAGATCTGTGATTATGTCAGGAATCAAAGGAATAGATTTTGTAGGTTCCTCGAAGATCCCATATTGACTTTTCTGAAAATGTCCAAAATAAATTAATAAATATTTGAAAATGCAGCGTGATGATCGTACAGCCGAATGAAAGAATAGTCAACGGTCCAGTGAACTAATCACCGACCGTGGACCACACGAGTGACCGTCCATGGGTCGGATTCGGTTCGACCCGACCGCACATGTACCGGGTCTGAGTGGCAACCACGCCCATTTCGCTTGCTTGTTTTGGCCATACGATTTATGATTTTTATTTTATAAGCCCATAATTTTCAATTTCTGTACCTCTACTTAATTACGTGGATTTATTAAATTCTAAAGTTTTAAACTCAAATATGTGTGAATTTTACTTTTAGTATACTTTTGTAAAAATGTGTTGCTAATTTGAATGGTTTTTTCACCTACTTTATTTTTGTGGTTGGGTTGGAATATTTTAACGCATTTTTGTTAACTGTTTTTTTAATAAAAAATTGGGGTATGGAAGTTTGAATTATTGTATCTTAAATAAGTAAATAATAATAATAAAACTTTAAACGGCCTATAGTGGTCCATATATTATAAAGTAGAACGTGACCATTTAGAAAAAATCAAAATTTGACAAGTATAACCATTTTTATTTATTTAAAAATGTTTATGATTAATAGTAATATACACAGCATACATAACGTGACATGTTGGCAATTAGGGCTGCGAAATTAGATACAAAATTAGGGCTAAGCGTTCTCAA